ATTGTCACAAAAAAATAATATATAAATTTATCACAAAAGTTTAATAAAAAATATTATTATTTCAATACTAATCAATTTTGATTAAAATTAATCAAACCCGATTAAAATTAATCAAGCCCAAACTAATCTCAAGTTTTATTGAGTTTTACATGTGATGTGGGATATATTTATAGTGCAAAACATTATTCTCTTATGTGTTTTTTATCAATGTGGGATGCATTGATTAGAAAAAATTGACAGTTTTTAGTGACGAAATATATTTTTTAGTGATAAATTATTTTGTCATTATTGAATGTGTAAGGTATATATGACCAATATTAGAATTTTGTCATAATTGTAATGCATTATAGTGATGATTTTTTATCGACAAAATCTTATTTTATCTCTATAAACATTTTTCGGTGACAAAATATATTTTTTATGATAAATTTTTTTGTTCATCATTAAATATGTATGCATCTATGACTAATTTTTTAGATCTGTCACAATTGTGATAAATTATAATAATGATTTTAAAATTCATCACAAATTTTTGTCACTAAAAATCATTTTTTTTGTAGTGAATAGAACCATGCCCGTCTCCAATAAGGATTTATGTAAAGAATTGTAGCAATAGTTATGAGCACCATTATGTAAGACACAACTAAACTCACATAGAAGACACCCATATCGATGAAACCATCATCTTCTCTACCGTACGTTGGACCTTCTTGGATCAGTGGTGGTGAACTTGCTGCTGAGAAACTTTTCATTGGCTCCCCACAAAGCAGAGGATTACCATGGTAACAACTTTCATCAAATGTTCCAAATTGCCCGATCCTTTTTGGTGTCTTGCCTGATAGGTTGTTGTATGCCACCCTAAAGGTAGATAAGTAATGCAACTGAACAAGCTAGGGAGGAATTTTCCCACTCAAATTGTTATAGGAAAGATCCAAGCTCTCGACTTGCTTAAGGTTAGAAAATGTAGATGGAATTTGACCAACCAAGAAATTATGAGACAAGTTTAGTACATGAATCTTATTGAGGTGTCCGATTTCATAAG